ACAATGGAACTTATTACAAACCTTTCGCTCACAGTAGGAGTAGTTATCAAATTCCAATTAGGTCTACCGAAGATGAATTTACATGGGTTGATTGGGAGGTGTTTTCTGTTGATAAGCTCAAGCTTAATCATTAGCTTATATTAAACAATAATTAAGTGAATGAAAAAGAGCATATAAATTACGTGAAAGCGCATAAGCATTGTTTACACTATTTGGAAACACGCGCGCTTGAAATAAACAAATTGATAGGAATTGAATATGGATTACTAACAATATGCATATCGTAAAAAGTGCGAGGGTTCAGTAGACAAAACCAGACAGCTTTTATTGTTTGTTAATACTAACAACTAGCCACTTGATAAGCTTATTATGTATGAAATCATAAAATGATCTAAGCTTGCGCGTTTATCGTGGACGCTTACTTGTTACGTACTGTCTTAGAACTTGACGTTTTACGCATATGATATGTAGTAAATGTTTTTTTTTTGGGGGGGGATACGTGTCAGACGGCGTTATATGATTTCCAAACCAATAATAATTTGGAACCAAACTTATTGTTGGTCTATTATTACTCAATCTGCAATAAGCCAAACCAGGACGAAATTATTGCCATTCGATTATTAATTTGTTTTCCATTTTATCGAAAAATCTTGCCATTTGATTAGTTTAGTGAGATACACATACAAGCAGTCGTAGTTTCTTAAGCTCTTCAGTTTATTCCGTTCTTTAATTCGAACATTTCCTCAACACTTGTACTATTATTAGATTATCATTTATATAATAAACAATATATAAATATAGTGGACATTAATATCCTAGCACTTCAGCGATTCTGCAATCGTAAACCGCGGGTTCTGGAGTCTCTGTGTAGAATTGATATTGTCCATCAATTTCGTAATTGGCAAAAACGATTGTTAATTATTACTAAAATACCCCGTATACTTGGGTGTAAGAAAATATCTGCGGAATAATTAGCAATCGAGACATACCGATCGGTTATTCGGGAATTGCGAGTATAATTAACGGTCACTAATACTAAATGGATTAGCGATTTAAGCAGCGATAGAGGTTAGTCAAGCCTCGATTGAAAGAGCTAAATCCAAGGCGGATTACTGAACGCTCTCCCGCTCGACAGTATTAATTGTTCGCATACATTTTCTGGAAAGACGCAGTATTCTGAATATTAGTATGTCCAATAAATTTACGATCTGCCTTACTATGTTACACACTGCAAGCAATAACTAAATATCTTGCCTTTTTACATTGAGCTTCAACTTACTTGCCAATTGAAAATGAGTAGCGTAATTGAATTACTTTCTGATGTTTCGTTGGATTATGAAAAGCTTTACGAAAGCGGAAAATATACCGATATCTCAATTCATGTCGGTCGAGAGCCAAACAGCAAGATATTTCTTGCTCATTCCTTGGTATTATGCACAAGAAGCGCATATTTTGAAGACAAACTAACCGGAAATACAGAGGTCTCTAACGAAATCCAACAAACTACGATGGTGTTCGAAGACATTAAACCTGATATTTTTGAAATTTTGCTTAGGTAAGTCTCATTCACTATGTTGTTGAGTGAATCTATCCACTATACTACCCTTTGCTATCAATGTATGCTTACATCTTGATTAGTACTCACACTTATTTGTACTCTAGATTTATTTACTCGGGAAAAGTGCCTTCTCATTTATGTGAGGGTATATCTTGGGTTGTTCTTTTGGAAGGAGCCAATAAGCTTGGGTTAAACACTTTCTGTACTGCAATTGGAGATTATTTGATCAAACATGAGCAATGGATAAAACAAAACATTCTCACAGTTTATAAATATGCAGTGACTACAAACTCACTACAGAGACTTGTAGATTATTGCAGCCAGCTTATGTTATCATCTCCAGATATCATCCTCAAGTCCAATAATATAGCGGATTTACCAAAAGCAACCTTTATTAGTCTTCTCAAGAATGATGAGCTTAATATGGATGAAAGTGATGTGTGGATGTCAGTTGTACAATGGGCTATTGACCAGATTGCTGGACTTACAGACAATCCAACCAGTTGGTCACCTACTGATGTTAATGCAGTCAGAGAAATAATGGCAGAATGTATACCTCATGTTAGATTTTTCAACATTCCATCTAAAGAATTTAGTGAAATGGTTGTTCCATACATTGAACTATTTCCAAGAGAATTGCGATCTGATTTGCTTTGTTATCATTTGCAAAATAACTATAAACTCAAAACGCAAATGTTACCACAAAGGAAGGGACAGCTACCTGATGTTGATTCGGTTATCATCAACAAACAGCAAGCATCATGGATCTTACAGAAAATCGCAGAATCGACACCAAATAACCGAGTTGAACGAGATTTAGCCCGTGAACAAATTGCTCCTTATAAACTGAACTTGCTTTATCGAGAAAGCAGAGGTGGTGGTATCAATAAGGAGACAGTAGTTAAAAATTTTCGGCGAATCTGTACAAACAAAGGACCGACAGTTGCTGTAGGAAGAGTAAAGGATACAGAAGAAATACTTGGTGGATATAACCCGCTGTCATGGAGCACTGGTAATAATGGATATGTTTCAACTAGGGAAAGTTTTATATTTTCGCTGGATAAGAATGACGTCGATAAGAGTATAATAAGTCTTGTTAAAAATGAACAGAAAGCTATTTACGAAGCCTCAACTTATTTGCCCAATTTTGGTTGGGGTGCCTTATCCTTCGGTCATTACTATAATAATGGTTTTGTGGAACCTATCGCTATAAAGGACAGAGAATATCAAATTCCAATCAGGTCTACTGAAGATAGATTTACATGGGTTGATTGGGAGGTGTTTTCTGTCGATAAGCTCACAGTTTAATCGTTAGCTTAATAATAAGTAAGGGTGAGGAAGGGAAGGGGAATGAAAAGAGCACATGAAAGCGCATAAGCATTGTTTACATTATTTGGAAATATGCGCGCTTGAAATAAATAAATTAACAAGAATTGAATATGGATTACTAATCGTAAAAAGTGTGAGTGTTCAATAGACAAACCAGACGGCTTTCTTATTCACTGTCGTGCCGACGGTCAGGGAAGCTATCGACACTTGGGATATAACTTCCTTTCAACAGAGGTGTGCTATTACTACTAGCTAACGACAGTTAGTGACCATTCAATCAAGGGCTTTAACTATTCACGACTCTCTAACAATCGATCAATAGACGCTAATCCTCGATAAATACGTCGTTCCTCGAGTATATTCATCCGCCGATTGGATTAGTTTCGATAGTCTATAATTCTGGGGTGTTCGTGTAATTCTCAACGCGTTGCCAAGTGAATAAATATTTATCGAGAGTAATCACGGGACAAGGCGAACACTCCTAAACGGTATAGGGACCAACGGTTTCAAAAGAATATGAACATGATTGAACATATTAAAGGCCATTAAACCTATCAGAAAGTCGCGCTTCTTATATATCTAATCGAACTGTCAGTTTCGCTACGTGTACTAAGTGCCAATTTAACCAAATAAATGTAAAAGCTAATAATTGTACGACTGCTATTAATATTATGGCGTTGGTTAGTTGGGAGATATCTAAGCTTTAATTGGTTAAATCTTTTAAAGGTTCTTCAAAATTGTCGTTTCTACAGGTTGGGGTACCAAAAAGTTTGTGAATCAATAGTAAAACAAAAACTTTTTCGAAAATTATTATTGTTGTATTCACAATATATTGATTTGAAGCAAATTGATTGTAACTTTTTGAAAAGAAGAAAGATAGACAAAAATACACTATTATAAGACTACAGTTTAATGAAATGGGCAGTAGATAAACGCATATATAGTCTTATAGTTTTCCTATTGTAACTTATATAATGTCACTTTATCGAACTACAGCTTTATAAATTTTAATGAGCGACTTTTCCCCAAACATTACAACCAATTTGCTTTAAATCAATGTAAAAAGCATTGCTACTTATCATTATATTGTAAATACAACAATAAAAAAGGTTTGCTTTCGTATGTTTTACAAAACTTTTTGTACACACTGTAATGTTTGCACGGCAACAAAAACCGACATTGATGAACTATTTGTATAATAATAAATTTCATACGACTCTATCACCTTCAATATAAAGACGATCGGTATGTAGATGAAATTGAAACGTAGTCGCCATAAAAAGTATTATGATGTCCCTTAGATTGACAGCAAAATGTCTGATATTATAGGAACTAAGTATATTCAGTTCAAATAATTTCACTATAAAATAATATCCAATATTACGAATAATGATGACGTTAGACCACGGTAGTACTTAGAATATACAGTAATTCCACCTTCAAATGTAATGCAAGCATTAGATTTGATAATGTTGAAAGAAAGCGTAAAATTAATCGTTAGACAACAAAGTAGTTGATAAAACATATTTAAAGCTTCTTCATAAATCATTGACATCAATCCATGTTTAAAACTTATTTATCATATTGAAATCATTTAGTATTAGTTTCTGCATTACTAAAAAAACAAACACAACGATCCTTTCTATTAAAGGATAAACCTAACATTTGTTATAAGAAAATGACTAAGCAACATTTCGTTTTACTAAACGAAAAATAATATTCGTCTTTAAAAAACTAGACATTTGTCTTAACACAAATAACATAACTTCTTATGGTGTCTGAGAATTCAACCTCGAGTTTATTTGCTTGTCAAGGTCCTTATGAATATTTGTGTCCCACCACGGAAACATGCCTGTTGTTGCTGTTGGCGTAGATGTTTCTGTAACGACCGGCCAGTTCCGAGTGATGTTTAAAATTGTATAGTCAAATTGACAACAAGACAATATATTAGAATGGCTTATTTTATTGTTGGCAAAATGTTTATTAGTGTTTATTTATTTCAAGTAATACAACAAAATTATCCCAACTCGAATAGAAGTTATCGAATAAAGCGCTTTACCCCCCCCCCCCCCCCCAAAAAAAATAAGAGGTAATAACAATAAAGTATAAATCGTTAAAACACTTTTTCTAATTTTGCAATTCCGTAAATTCTCTGCTTCCCTCCTCCATTATTGAATGCAAACTCCTCGACAACAAAACAACAATGGATTGTGGGGTTGAGTTTTGGTAGAGGTGCGTTAAGCGTTTTGACGATTGGCGTGGCAAAAGACTGATCATCCAAGTCGATAACGTCGTTGTCTCCAGGGGTGCGGCTGGTTTTTGTGCTGCACGGGGCCACGTGAATATCGTAGACTGATTCAACTGGTCCATCTGTTATTGCATCATGAATATCAATAAAGCCACCGATATGTAATTTGTTTGCATTCTCCACAAATTCGAGAATTCCGTTAAATGTGTTGCGATTGTAACCGGCGTTCAGACCGCCCGGAATACCGGACGGACTAGTAGGTAAATTCAAGGGATTATCTCTTTTTTTGAACACGCATCTATGAAAGTTGGCATTTGCTGGCGTAGAGCTGATGAAGATTAGGACGGCCAAGAGAAGAAGAACATAGGCTGATTTCATTTTGGATTAAAATTTTTCGGATGTCTTTGTAAGCTTGCCAGTTGACTGTTCGCCGTTGGAAAGATGGAGGGGGGAGGCTCGAAACGCAGGCGATTTTATAGTTCTCGAATTGAGCGTGACGTATTCCTCACCGGAAATGCTTCCGAAATGTGTTTCAAATTACGATCTTTTATTTCACCAACAATAGTAAAAAGTGAATGGCAATGCGCGATGATTTAAAAATAACTTTTTTCATTTAATGCAAAGTAAAAATGCATGTCACAATAAAGCTACACGGCTTAATAGTCTCATTGGATTAACATAAGCTAATGCGATTGTTGACAATGAAAAGCCTCTCACAACAACAAGGCTTATTCACAGATGCACAGTCACTGTCTGCAATCATGCTATTTCTATTCATATTCCCAATAAAAACAGTAGACAACATACTCTTAATCTGCGCACTTATTATGATTACCTGTTTTTGATCTTGTTTATCAGAGTCTGAGTTTTTTTTATTTATAACGAATGTATTATAAGCCATTACAGTCGAACAAAATGTTCTATTATCAAAGTATTTTTGGAACAAATACGTAACATGGTGATACTGATAATAAAATTAAATGGCTGAAAATCTTATATGCTAAACAATACGTGTCTTCAGAAATGACAGACAATAATCTCCGATGATTTTGTGCCATAAAATTGTCTATTTCATTGACGTGCGCTATTACTATAATTAGTTTGTGATCAACATCTTTGTAATGTTACTAGAAAAAGCAAATGTGATAATGGCATTTTTTGTATGACGCACAACTATTTAGCTATGATCCACAATATCGTAAAAATAATCCGTTTATTTTAATCGGTATGCAATGCAGTATTGGATTTGAAGACAAAGTTGAAGCATATTCGTCAAGAACATGCGCTGATATTAATATTATTGATTACACTCTCGCTCTTCCATTTTAATTGTAGTTATTTTAAATCTTTTGCTTATGGCCTAGCATCTTTTCTTTGATGCTATTTTAGTGTCGAGAAAAGGAGTCAGTGATTTAAAAGTTTGAAAGTTCTTTGTTAACGCCGATATCCAATAAATTGTCTATATATTTATAGAAACAACTGATTTCACTGTTCTGTAATGAGGATCGGAATTCCTCCTGATTACGTTATTTCCGTAATAAGTAAGAAGGTTACAATTTCCGGAGTTTTATTCCTAGGTTTCTTGTGTACTTACGGTATTATTATATGCTATTATTATATGTTACTACAAACCTGGACAAAACTGAATGTTCAAATTGTTCATAGAAGTTATTGGATATCTTTTAATGCAGTGCATATGATTCGCTAAAATCACACAGGAAACGTCATAAATTTCATACGACTCCATCACCTTCAATGTAAAGAATGGAGTCGGAGACGAAGTTGAAGCGTATTCGCCAAAAGCCACACAGGAAACGTATCGCAATATCCATTATATTTGCCAAAAATCATACACGTAAATCTATCGTTATGATATAAATAATACATAGTTAAACATATGCTTATTTATTATTGGAACCGACAAACTAACAAACAACATTGTTTACTAAACTATCGTCTTAAAAGTGACGTACGCACATTCGTTTTATAAAACCTACTAACAATCGTCTTAAAAAAACGACAAAGTAACAAACACAACAAGTTGTTTATATTGTTGTTAATGGTGTTGATTATACTTCGGGGTGATGGTCTTGCCGGTCAACGTCTTTACTAAGATCTGTACCACCTTTTAATAACTTTAATGGTTGGCCAATTTTTCTTGATGTTAAGATCTCGGAAACGTATATAATGTATTAGTATCTTTACATCAAAAAGTGTTTCTTTAATGCACAGCCTTCATTCATATTCATTTTGTAGTATAATTTACAAGTTTTATGTAATAAATTTTACAGGCTCTTCTAATGTCTGTAAAATCATCCCACGACTCTCCGTAGAAGTATCTTTAGTCGTATAATAAACCGTAGTTTCGATTGTTGTTCTGTTGGGGTTCCTTCGATGCGTTCATATAAATTCATTATATAACCTCTATAGTCATTATCGACGAGGTGTTGTTATCTTTATCGTTCTTCATAATGTTGATAGTTTCTTTGTAATAAACTTTTTTTACTAAAGAGTAAAATTATCTCTAAAATTTCGTGTTTCGACTTATCGTTATAATCTGTTCGACCGTTATCCGACTTACAGCTTATCGCAATTATATGCATGTCGTCCGACTTATCTATTATTCAAAAAAGAGGCTGAACTTATCGAGCGTCCCAACTTATTATTATCGAGTATTCCTGATAAACAAAAGCATTTCAATGCATTCAATCGAATTGCTTCCATGAAAAGTTTCCCGATTCTTCAACGTTTGAGAGAAGTGATGACGGCAAGAGAGCGATCAAGTACCTGAGAAAAATATCTTGGTCAAAAATAGTGCATTGGTTTATTTGAATGATTTGTCGACTAAATATGACAAACTGAATTAAGGCATAGATTAGTTTGATAAAAAATAGATATACAGTGCATGACACCTTAAAACCAGCAATATACGTGATATATATATATATACAATCTTTAAAGTTTTTCACACAAAAAATTAAAACAGTTAGTAAACAATTTTTAATGTAAAAAGATGCAGAAGAATAAAGAGAACAAAGTTACGAAACTGTATGTCAATTGGTTGAGTTTTGATGAAGCTGGATTTTTTTAAAGTCTGACGTTTTACTAATAAAAGTTAAAAAAAAAAATCAAGAACAAAAGAAAGCCAAGCATCAACATCAGGAAGCAGCAATAGTAAAGATAAATTTAAAGATGACAAGTTTAGCAACAGCAAAGATGAATTTAGTAATGAGTATCGTAAAGTAAAAAAGTATCGATCACACCACCGTGTTCTAGTTTCAATTTTACTTGATGTCAATGCATTGAATAATTCATAGACGAAACTTCGTTTATAATAAAAAACGCGGCGTTATACTAAATATGATTGGATGGCGTGTTAAATAATCACATGATTGGCAAATTTTGGCCACACGAATTAATTTGTAGAACACCCACATCAAAGTCTTATTGATGATTATAGTAATTATAGTAACACAAAAGTATAAGACCCTTTACCATTACCTTTTTTGTACTAATGCAATTTAATTGCGCGTAACATTTTCAGACTTTCATTCAAATTGTGCTCAAGGAATAATCTCAAGCCATAACAGTGTTAGTTTTCTTTCACTCAATATTAATTGACATTTGGCAGCAGCTAATAGAGATAATGGCATCTTCCTTCAACCGTGCAGAACATGGGTTATGTCTTAACTGCAATAAGCCCATGACAGCCTATCTCTGGTGTAAATCCTGTTGTGCCGACAAGTTTAAAGAGGACTTTTCCAAATGGACTAGTGGTGATGCAGCTCTAGATGAATTTATCAGGACGACACAACTGACTGCTACCAATAATCATGGTGTTATGGAATGGATTCCTTATAACGAACTGCGAATTACTGGATATCTCGCCAGAGGAGGGTATGGCGAGGTGCATAGCGCTGTCTGGAGGAAAGGCTATGCTAAATATTTGGATTTCTCTACTCGTCAGTGGAAGAGAGATGCGGAAATTTTGTCTGTGGTAGTCAAAATTTTGGATGGTTTGAAAGAGATAACTGAAAGCTTTCTTTCTGAGGTACGCATAACGGTGTATATGTGGGATAATAATGACAGTACATCTTAAAAGCAAAAATTTTATTCCCGATTAGTAGACTTTTAAACATAAGGGCTAACCCACTTAGGGCATAATGTAACCTTTTCACTCTTTATTAGCTTCAAGCATATTATAGATGCGCATCGAATGCAATTCAGATAAATCATTGCTTCGGCATTACTCGAGCACCAGAGACAGGAAACATCGGCCTTGTTCTTGCAAACGTACGATTTGGAGATCTAGCCAGCTACATTCGCACAGAACACACCAACTTGACATGGCTAGATCGTGTTGAATTGCTTTGGAATGTAGCCGACGGTTTGCAAGCAGTTCACTCCAATGGATTAGTTCATCGCGATTTTCACAGTGGTAATATACTGGTAAGCGGTCATAACACGACTACAATAGCTGATCTGGGTTTGTGTCGACAAGTGAATAATTCCCATTCAACGGAAATATTCGGAGTATTACCATACGTCGCGCCAGAGGTGTTAAAAGGAGATGAGTATAAACAAGAAGCAGATATTTATAGCTTCGGTATAATTATGTGGCAAGTTGCTTCGGGCAAGAGACCCTTCAGGGATGTTTCACACGATACATCCTTGGCCATTAAAATTTGCAAAGGTACAAGACCGCCTATTATGAAACAGATGCCAGATTGTTTTAAGGAATTAATGCAACGATGCTGGCATGATAACCCATCCATAAGGCCTAGTTCAGCAGAGCTAAAGGAGCAATTATGGAAATGGTTGTATGAATACGATTGTGAGGAGCATAAAGAGGTTGCACGTGCAAGTAAGAGACAACAAAGAAGACAAAATTCAAGGAAGAACACCGATGAAAGCCAAACTGAAAGTTCTGATTCACAAAAGACACATCCAATGGCACTATATTATAGTACCTTATTGCCTACACTCAAGTTAAGTCAACTTGAAGATAATATGAGCGAAGGTATGTATCCTCATCCGTATTCTTATTTATTAATTGATTCACTGATTAACGAATATATTCAATATTGACATGTTACGCTGTTAAGAATACATCACCAAACACGAAGAATTCGTAATACCTGACATGATATAATCACAAACGTCTAAAGTGAACTCTTCCGTCATCACTTAACTCTGTTCTTAAGCCTATATCGCTTACGGCAGGATGTTGCAATACCTCTCTAGGAGCCAATTGCTCGATGAGCTTTTGGTTCTCGAGATTATTATCCAGAAGATTGCGAATAGCAAATATAGCGTATTCACGGATGACTAGTGAATGGGATAACAATCAGTTCACATATTCAATCAACGTAAAGATATCAGTACTTACAAGGGTTAGCATCATCAATATTGCATTGGTTCAATATTGCAGGAACACCACCTAGGCTGCGAACCTGAATATTATAATTAGTATTATTAATTAATTTATAACTACAGATGTATTATGCTCTACTCACTTCGTCTTGCACACGTCGATTCTTGTATGACATGTTACCAATTACGTTAACAAGATCTCGTTTAATGTTAGCAAACTCTACAGAATCCTGTTGCACGGAGTTTGCATTGGTTGGTTTGGTTATACGTGGAATTGTCTCTTCAGCTTGATGTAATAAAGCTGCAATTAAAGGGCGAATCGGAGGCTTTAGACTATTCACACTTGTCAGGTTGTCTCTCTTGACAATATACATTACTTACATATGCAAACAGCTACAACACCCCCAGAAAACAAACTCGCTCGAGTATTTTCATCTTCACTCTGACTTAACTTTCCAAAACATTGCAAGAGCAATATCAATGCTGTATACAGCATTGATCTGTTCTCCATTAATTCTGGTTGATTTTCTCTCGCTTGGTCAGACAGATCATCATTTGTTGCATCTTTCAGTGAATTAATGATGTGAGGTGATAACTGCTGCAGTATGTAAGCCAGATGTGTTGTTGAAGACGGAGAAAGTTGCGTCTGTCCCGGATCTGAGGAATGCAATTTCGAGTCGAGAAATTTCAGTAAAGCGATTTGGTGACGGCTTGGCTGGTCTCTTCTGATAAACACGGGGATGGATTAAATTAGATATTGGAATAAATAAAATTGAAAGCTCTTGTATGCAAATTACCTCGCGGATATGGAAGGCATATCATAGAGAATGGGAAAGAAATCTAGATCGATCAATTCGGATATAATAGCATATCTGCGACATTAACCAAAGCAGCTTGAATAATGAATGGTGAACAAAATAAACAAGAATATCGAGCGGTACAGGTAAAAATCAACATACATCATTTCAAAGCTTTTTGAATTTTCATCCGCAAGTAATAGCTCGGCCTTACATAATAAGGATTTTAATAGATCGATCCCAGTAGGGGATTCAACCAGAATTTTACTAAAAAAAAAAAAGAGCCATTATTAACTCGGTTGAACGAAACAAAAACTACCAGAGAGTAAATACCTGCGCGCTTTACTGTCGTGGATAGGATTATAAACCAGTATCAATAAATTAGTCAGGCTTACTTCGTCCCCTTGTGTTGCAACGCGGCTATGATTGGTAAAAATTTAGTATCATAACGAATCAAATTTAAATCAAACTATGTTATTGATAATTACTTCACTTTAAGATCCCTTTTCCGATGTCTTTGCTCATAAGATCAGACCATAGAAGCTGCTGTAGTTCCGGATGACCAGTTATAGTGTTTGATAAGGCCTGCATACTCGAATTAATAAAGGCCATGGCTAATTACAGACATAGGGTCAACAATTAAGTGTCGAATACTTTATGAAACATTGTTATCCTCATCAGATCAAAAACGTTTAACTGTAATAGTGACCATCGTCTCTGTAATTAGTCTTTTTACTCTCAATGATCTCTAAGCAATACTCCAATGTTTTTAGCACTTTAGCATGCCATTCGTATTTTCTATTGGTTGGGGGGAAGAGTTGTTAGTTGAATCTTTAATAAAACGTGCTAAAACATGCTCTTACTCACACAGCTTTTTCTTGATTGGTGCTAACACCGGCGACAAGATTTCGAAATAGTCTCGTCAACCACAAAAGTAAAAGCAATGCTTGTGGATTATCCGGAACGAGCAATTGTTCGTAAGCATAATCCCAGACTCTCGTTGTTCGACTCCAAAATGCGTCTTCTCGACCCAATGCGATTCTGCTTAAGAAATCTTGGTTAAAAAGGCCATATTCATCAAATTACAGATACGAATGGAATGGTTACCTGAAGTCGCCATCCTGTAATCTATTCACTGTTTTCTTGATATCTTCAATCAGCAAGCCGAGTCTATCTTGTGTAGAATCATCTAAGTAGCTTGTCAAGTTCTTCAGAAGAGACAAAGTCCAGGAAACACTGTCTGATGACATCACTGCAAACAGGTAAACTATTTTTTTTTCTGACTGATGATTACAAAAATCACGCATCATGTACCACATTCAGATTGTTAATAGTCAGTATGTCTTATAGCGATAGCAAATAATATTAGAGTGTGTATCTCATCATAATCAGTACTATTGCCAGATTTGGCAAACTACCTACTACTAAATATGGCAGGGGAAGTACTGATGAGAACACACATAATTACAATAGCGAAATTGTAATAATTGTGTCCCAAATTGGGAATATTCAAACTACCAAACATAATTTGATATATAGTTGGCACGGCTATATCATGAAAGATGTCTTTGAGGATATAAGTGCATCTCTGTCTGCATTCTAGTCATGAAGTAGCTACCGCGTCTATTAAAGACTTATTGGCCGACTGCACGGGGCCATTTGGAAAAGAACTGGTTTGGGTATGAAAACAATGTCAGGAAGCACGCATCATCCGGCTAGTGCTGAATGCTTCGAACCGAGCTCGAATGTTGCTATACGTATTTTATTCAGGAACGATTAGCATCGAACTCATTACCAATTTCATAAAACGTTAGTCTCAAGATTTACTTTTTAATAATAAATAAGTAATGTATTATATTTTCTTACATAGTCAAATGATCTAACAGTAAACGTGCACGATTTTATTTCGGCATCTTGTTAACTCAACCATATTGACATACGTGGAAGCACATCGTATAATTCGAA